TTTTTTTCTACTCAATGCCATTATTGCAGTTTTGCCCTGTCACCATTCTCGGGCCCATTGAGTGAGGATAGTCAAAGATTGTTGAAAAGTCCTCGTAAACCACAAAGGAAGGTGCCGAAAAATCCATATAAGGTACATTTGTCGCTCAAATCTGCAAAATCTGAAAAACGCTTTTTTAGGTTTTGGATGCACCCGAACTTCAGGATGATTTTTATCTAAATTTAGTTGATTGGTCTTCTCAAAATATGTTGTCTGTGGGATTAAATACTTGTGTTTATCTTTGGAGTGCATGCAACAGTCAGGTGGGGCGCAACTTAAACTTGCAATCAATACTCGCAACCTTCTTGCTTGTAACTTTCAAGGTCATCAAACTGTGTGACTTGGTGAACGACCAAGATACTGTAACATCTGTACAATGGGCCGACAAAGGAGAGCTTCTTGCTGTTGGTACAAATCGTGGAATCACACAGGTTGGCAGAGAACGACGCATCTTTGACATTTTTTGCCTCGAGAATAAGTTATTTGCAGATCTGGGATGTCCACACCCAAAAAATGACAATGGAATTATCCGGTCATACGTCACGGGTCGGTTGTCTTGCGTGGAATGGCGACCTTGTTTGTTCTGGTAGTCGTGATCGACATATCATACAAAGAGATATAAGGCAGCCTCATCTCACAGAGAAGAAAATGAGCGCGCATCGTCAAGAGGTAAGTGGTGATCGGGCTTCATTTCTTTGTCACATAAGAATTTGTTCAATTATTGCGAAGTAGATTATTCATTCAACAACCATTGCCATTAGATCTACGCAAAATCATTGCATGCCAGTTTTCTATACTGAAATTACAAATCTCGCAAGATTTGAGCTGAATTGTGCTGACTCGGGAATAACTTGTTGGTAGCATAATGCCGAAAATCAAAGATTGAAGATAGTTCAATTTTTTCCTAAGGACGCGATCACCGTTATTTTTGTGCTTTGATAAAGGTCGAGATTTGTTTGTAACTTAGCAGCCCTATGGTAGGTGCCAGACTAGCTGCTTGCCTGCTTGTGCAGCA